CGGGAAGCCTGCTTCTCCCTCTCCCACTCCCCCTGCTTGTGTTCCCTCTCTCGCTGTGTCTCTCTCTGTCAAATAAATAAATAAATAATCTTTAAAAAAAAGAATAGTATAGCTAATACTTACTGAGCTTACATTATGTTCCAGATCCTATCCTAAACACTTTACATAGATTAACTTCTTTTAATTCTTGTAAAATCCCATAAGGGAGAAACTATTATTATTTTCATTTTATGGATGAGGAAACTGAGGTATACTGAAATTATCTTGTTCAAATTCATAGTTAGGAAGGGGGGAAGTCAGGATGATTACCTAGGGAATCTTTCTCTATAGCTTTCCTTTTTGAAAAATTTAGGTTTATCAAGGTCTAATTTAGATAAAGTAAAAAATCACCCTTCTATTTGAACAGTTCGACAAGATTTGACAAATGCATACACAGTCAAGATATAGAACATTTTCATCACCTCAAAAAGATCTCTTGTCCCCTCTGTAGTCAGTTCTCTGTCTGCCCCCAGCCCTTAGCAACCACTAATCTGTATAGTTTTGTCTTTTGAGGAATGTCATATAAATGGAATCATATAGTACTTAACCATTTGTTTCTGGCTCCTTTCACTTTGTGTAATGCTTTTGAGATTCACCCATGATTGCTTCCACAGCTCCTTTTTTGTGCTAAGAAGCATGTCTTTGTACAAATATATCACAATTTATTCATCCATTTATCCATTGATAAACATTGGTCTGTCTATGATAAAGATGCTCCGAAGCTGCCCTTAACCTGCTCCGAAGCTGCCCTTAACCTGTATGCACAGGTGTTTGCATGAACATGTGCTTTCATTATCCTGAGTAAATACCTAGGAGTAGGATTTCAGGGTCATACACTAAGTGTGTATTTGGCATCATAAGGCACTGTCAACTGTTTTCCAAAGTGGCTACCCCATTTTGCATTCTGACAGACTTCCAGTTGCTCTGCATCCTCTCCTTCCCTTTGTATGGTCTGTCTTTTTAGTCTTAGCCATTCTAGCAGGTGCATGGTGGTAACTCATGGTGGTTTTGATTTGCATTTCCATAATTACCAGTGATGTTGAACATCTTTTCATGTTCTTATTGCTATCTTCTCTCAGCTTTTGTTTGAGAAAGCCTTATTTCACCTTCATCATAGAAAAATGTTTTTGCCGGATATTGAATTCTGTGCCGAAAGTTTTTTTTTTCTCTCTCAGGATCTCAGAAATGCTCCTTTGTCTTACGGCTTGCACAGTTTCTAGAGATGTCTGCTCTTTGTTCCCGGTATATCATCTTTTCCCTTCTGCCTGCTTTCAGGATTTCGTGTTTATTTTTGGTTTTCAGCATTTGACTATGATGTGTCTAGGTGTGTTTTTTGTTTGTTTTGTTTGCTTTTTAATTTTTGTTTTTAAATTTATTTGCTTACTATTTGCTGATATTCTTAGATCATCTATCGTTGACTTGAGAGCATTCTTAGCCATTGTCTCTTCAAATATTTCTTCTGCCCCCTACTCTTTTTCTTCTCTTTCTGGAACTCCAGTTGTTAGATCATTTGATGTTGTCCCACAGCTACTGGATGATCTGTTCTGTTTTTAGTTGTTTTTTTTTTCCCCCGCTTCTTTTTTTTTTCTCTTTGCTTCATTTTAGATGATTTCTATTGACCTATTTTCAAATTTATTGACTCTTTCCTCAGCTGTGTGTAATCTGTTTATAAGCCCATCAAAGAAATTCTTCACCTCTGATATTGTTTTATTTCTAACATTTACATTTGACTCTTAACTTCACATGTCTCTGTTGGAATTTCTAATCTGTTCAGGCATGTTGTCCATCTTTTCCAGTAGATCTTTACTGGATTAATCATGTGGCCCCTGTCTAATAGCTCTAACATCTGCATCATTATTGAGTCTGATCCTACAGATTGTCTTATCGCTTGACGACGAGTCCCTTTTTTTTTTTTTGCTGCTTCTTTCCTTCCTTGCTTGCATGTTTTATGTGTGTGTTATAATGTTTCGTTGACTGCCATACACTGTGTGTAGAAGAACAGTACAGACTGAGTAAATAGAATTTATACCTGGAAATGGGCAGGACTGTTTAGTGTGGGGACTGAGCCATTATATCAGATGAGCTGGGTTTGGGTAGTTTCTGTTTTTACCCTCGGTGTACACCAGGCTTCAAGTTCTTCCAGCAATAGGCTGCTGTTACCTTGTGCTTGGTGTGGAGCCTGGGATACCCTGGGTTTTTTTGGTTTTTTCCAGTGTTTCTATTCCACCCTTAGCTTTGAGTAGTTCCTATGTGCCTTTGCCAAAGAAGGGATCTTTCTCTGCACTCCTTCCCCTCCCTCAGTGGTAGACTACTATTGCTTGTTCCTTGGTGCTGTGCTCCTGGTGAGCTGAGGGGGGTTCTTGGGCCTCTTGCCTCATCCTCAGTCTTAAACAGGACATTACTGGGCCTCAGGGGTAGGGCCTTTTCAGCATTCCCACACACCCCCTCCCTCGCCAGCAGTCAAACCCTGCCTTGTATCTGTGGTGGCTCTCGGGAAGGAGAGAATTTCCTGCCCCTCCCTCGGGGGAAGCAGACCTCTGCTTTGCATTGGTGCAGGATCTGGGGGCTCAAGGCAACCAGGGGCTGATGGCTTTTGCCTCTGCTTTTCCCTTGGAAGCAGTGGATCTGCCTGGTTACTTTGGCAGGAAGGAGAGAGTCTCCCGCTCCCTCCACAGAGGCAAACAGATTTTGCTTCTACCCCTCCAGTGGCTCTGGGAGCAAGAGGGTTTGCTGCTCCTCCCACAGCCACTTGAGGCTTTTACCTCTTTGGGAGGAAGGTCCGGGAAGCGGTCAGTGTTTCACACCTGTCCCCCAACAGCTGTGGGGGCGTCCTGTATGAGTGCCACCCAGGGGCACTCTTTGCAGTCAAATGCTCTACACTGAGCTATGCCCCCCCCAGGGGGACTCTTTGGGCTCCTTCCCTATCCCAGTCATTCTTGTGGGCCCTGGGTGGAGGTCTGCACAGAGCTGCTTGCAGGTGAGTGTAGATTCCTGTTGTGCCTGGGGCCCCTGCTCATTCTAGACTGAGAGGCTAGCCCACGCTCGACCTCTTAGCTCCTTTCTTCTGCCTTGCTTTTTTGGTGGCCCCCTCTTCCTCTCATGCTCTATTAAAGATGAAATGCTTTGTGCGGCCTGACTCTCGTCAGAGGGGCTTCTTACTTTTTAGAGTTAAATTCTCTTGGTTGTCTTGACACTTCAGCCTTCTGAAGGGTTGAAGAAGAGTTTTGAGCTTCTCGTTGTTCGGATAGAAGCAGCATTCTCTTACTGCCTTCTACAAACTGAAGGGAAGCTTTTAAATCCCAGTCCCTCTCAAGGACTTTCATTTCCAGGATCTTGTTTACACCTCACTGATTAGGATACAGTGAAGTGGTTGTATCTCCTTCCTAGAACCCACCAATCAAAAAGGGGAGTCCAGAGAAACCAAATGTGCTTCGTGCAGAGTGATCAGTACCAAGTGTTTCCCCCTGTGCAGAGAGTCACTTGTGCCACGGTTTCCTGCTCGATGAGTGTGTGTGGACCCTCACGTGAGCATTGCACCCCTAAGATACCGGGGGTGTCCGAGCAGCTGTAAAGCCCTTCTCTTTTTACGGCTTTACCTCATCAAGTGTCTCCCTGCAAAGAGGCCCCCGTGTTTTCATGTGCTTCATCTCATCTGTCCTCACGCATTTGTGTGATACAGGAACGGGTGGTGGCCTCTCCATCCTCCAAACCGAAAGAGAACAGGAGTTCTGGAAGTGAAGTGCAGCTCCTGGGATCACATAGCCCAGCTGGTCCCGAACCCAGACTCTCTGACTCCAGCCCGACCCCCATGTAGGCCGAGCCACCGTGCTGCGCGCTAATTCTAAGGTCTCCTGGGCAAAAAAAAAAAAAAAAAAAGTCTCCACAGTCATTTGTTCGGGGTTTAAGCTATTCATTCTGTGATTTGATCCTGAAACATAAGACAGTCTGGTTTTGTAGACGAAAAATAATATCCCAAACTGGATCATGTTGGTTAGGAAGAGTTTTGTTTGTAACAGGTTGGAAAGCGAGCCCCAGGCTGTGCCCCAGGCTGAGGGCCAGTGTCCTTTTGTCTCCCACAGCTCTTGTTGGTGCCTGCGGAGGGAACTACTCGGCTCTGACCTCCGTGGTGTATTCCCCTGACTTTCCAGACACCTACGCCACGGGGAGGGTCTGCTACTGGACCATCCGGGTTCCAGGAGCCTCCCACATCCACTTCAGCTTCACCTTGTTTGACATCAGGGACTCTGCAGACATGGTGGAGCTGCTGGACGGCTATACCCACCGCGTCCTGGTCCGTTTCAGTGGGAGAAACCGCCCGCCTCTGTCCTTTAACGTCTCTCTGGATTTTGTCATTTTGTATTTCTTCTCCGATCGCATCAATCAGGCCCAGGGATTTGCTGTCTTATACCAAGGTAACCCTTCTCAGCCTTCTGGGGGGCCCTCCAGGCTGCGCCTCGGGCTTTGCTGGCACACTGTGGTGACCTGCAGGCCTCGAGCAGGTCTTGATGGGGCTGCAAGGCAGGAGCTACTGACTCAACTTGCGGATTTTCCCACCTCCCATTTCATACATTTACAGAAAAGAGGCGACGCCTGTCAGTTTTGCTGCTTTAGTTGTTCTGATGACAGTTGTCATGGCACGGTTGAAAGAAGAACTGAAAGGAGGAGCTGAGACTGATAGAATTAGAAGGCTTTAAAAAGGTCATCTGGCCCATCCTCCTGCCTCCTGATATCTCCATCAATCCCAAAAGACTAGTTTCTCATCTTCCTTCGAACCCTCCTAAGGGACACCTGGCTGGCTGGGTTGGAAGAGCGTGTGACTCTTCATCTCGGGCCATGCGTTAGAGCTGCACATTAGATGTAGAGCTTACATTAAAAAAAGAAACTTTAAAGAAGAAAACAAACAACAACAACAACAACAAAAACCCCAATATACCTTAAAAAAAAAAAAACCAACTGTCCTAAGATGGAGCCCCACTCTCTGCCCCTGTGATGTGCACACACATGTGCCAGGCACATCTCTCCGCCAGCACATGAGAAACAGGGGCATCTGAGACCTGGTCCTTGTCCCGGATGCCGAGGGCCCCGGGAAGAGTTCAGTCAGCGTGTGCTACAGGAAGTCAGAGAGAGGAGGCCTTCCCGTAGGTGGGAGGGACAGTCTCAAGACCAGGTGGGATTTGGGTCAATAGATAGGAAGTAAGGAGGCATTCTGGGCAGAGGGCACCATAACTGAAAAGGCACAAGGAAAGCAAGCAAGCAGGCTCAGGTGTCCTCAAAGAGACCAGTCAAATGGTTAAAAGTTGACAGCCCCTTCTTCTGGCACTTTCTGGGCCAGAGCCTGACAGGTTCTGCTTTGGGGTCAGTGGGGTCAGTGGAGAAAACTGCACGCAGAAATGAATCAAAAAAACACCCTCTCTTCCTAGCCAGTGCGTCCTCCTCCGAAGTTCTCTGTTGTCTCCATCAGCTCTCCCCCCTCTTAATTTCTTTGATCTTCCAGCCGTCAAGGAAGAGCCGCCTCAGGAGAGGTCCACTGCCAACCAGACGCTGGCCGAGGTGATCACAGAGCAGGCCAACCTCAGCGTCAGCGCAGCCCGGTCCTCTAAAGTCCTCTACGTCATCACCACCAGCCCCAGCCACCCACCCCAGACCGTCCCAGGTAGCAGTTTCCAGACACCAGAAAAGGGGGTGGAAGCCACGGGGCTTGAGGGCAGTGTTCTTGGCAGTTAGAGAAGGAACTCTCTTCCCAGGCAGGTTGTGGATACTGGCTCTGCGACTGTCCTGGCCTTTGAGGGACATTTTCTCATTAGCTTGTTTCCTCAGTCCTTAGGAGAAAGTGCTCACCTCCAAAGATCCAGCACGTGTGCCTTTTGCAAGTTGTGATTAATCGGCCAAGCCAGTGTTTTCCCACTTCGAGGATGTCTTTCTAGAGCTCCCAAGTTGCAGCTCCCTAAATTCACTGGCATATACAAGAGCTTCATTCATTCATTCATTCATTCATTCATTCAAAAGACATGTGTGTGCTTCAGGGGTGTCAAGTACTATTGTAGGCACCAGACTATAGAATGAACCAAACAAACAATATCCCTGACCTCCTGTGACTTGTAAGTGGTAAGAGAAAGACAAGAAGCAAAATAACAGGTCACATAGTGACGAGCTAGAAGAAAAGTCATGCGGGAGAGGGATAGAGAGGGCGTAATGGTCTGTGGTTGAAGCGGCTAACTTGGCTGCATACTTCCATATTCTCTTTTCTGCCTGGGAAGACCTAGCCTAGGGGTTTTACCCTGCAGGACCCACCCTAGGAGAGTCCTTCCAATGCGTGCTCTGCGTTGCTTGTTTTTAAATCCTGGTAGGATTTCACAGGTCACACGTCTCATTCCTCAGATAAGGAAACTGAGGCCCAAAGAGTTTATGTAACTCATTTGTGATTGCACAGTGATTCCAGTGGTAAAGACATCATATATACCACTCCTTTCACCTCCCAAGTGGAATGCACTTTGGACCACCCTGCCTGCTTCTCTCCAAGAGGGAGCTCTAGAGCAAGGCGAGGTGGTCAGAAGGCCTGGGGCTCCTTGCCTGCCCAGCTCTCAGCTGCGTTTGGTGGCTGCCCCCACCTGCAGGGGGCTCCTCAGCCAGACCTGCGTCTCTGAGCTGCCAGTGGTGACTTGGGGCTTCCAACAGACCTCCTTCTGAAAATGGAGTGCCAACAGGTCCAAGAAACCCTGTCTTTTGTACTTGCAGGATGGACAGTGTATGGCCTGGCAACTCTCCTCATCCTTACAGTCACAGCCATTGTAGCAAAGATACTTCTGCACGTCACATTCAAGTGAGTATGAAAGCTGCCCAGTCCCACAAGGGGAAGGCTCAGAACTCCTTTTCTACTGTGCTTTATTTGTCTGGATACAACTGTCGTATCAGAACATGAGGCCCAAGCCCTTAGTCCTAGGCAACATGAGGCAGTACGCATTCCTCATTCTCTGTAGAGTGAAATGTACAACTGGACAAATCTCACCAAGGTTTGAGGGATTGTGTTTGCTTCTGGCTCACAGGATATGATTTCAAGGAGGATTGAAACAGTCTAGGCTTAAAAAACAACCATTTCCAATTTTTGATTTGTGCTGGCCCCTTAAAGAGATCTTCATGTTAGAGGAAAGATTTCTAAGACACTACCATGCCTATTTCCTAATGCCTTCTAGAAATTGGGAAACATTCTTAGGAAGAGGATCCTAACATTTTATTAGCTATTGCTTAATAATTATTTAAAAACAATTAAGAAGCTTCATCCTTCAATTCTGACTGATATGGAAAAATGATATTTCCTTCCCTTACTTTGCTACTCGGGTTTAACAGTTCCGTCTTCCAGGAAAAGAGGCAGTTATTTATGCTCTTAATGTTTGTGTACTTCCAGAGAAAAGCTCTGATCTTTTCGAGACCCCTACTCTGTCTTTCCCATGGCTCCCAGTCCAGGCTCTCTCTGCTCCTTTTTGCCCCCAGTTTTATTGAGCTATAATTGATAGACAGGCTCTCTGTATTTCAAGGCCTTTCCTGAACACTGGTGTCTTATAAATCCACCATTTTCCTGACCTTCTCGCTTGTCCTCTGCCACAGAATTTTTAATACGTGAAATGCTGGCTCCGCCACTGCTTTGTGAAGGCTGTCCTTGCAGGCCTCGCTACACTGCCCTTTACATTTTTCAGTGGAAACAGTGTCTTTTTTTAGTGTTTACGGAGCTCATCCTCGAGCTTCAATGTATATACCTACATATTGAAGTCACAATTCACACGGCCTGGGAAAGCCTCTTAGATACAGCAAGAGAGCTGGAGGCTTTCTGTAGGGCCCAGCACCTCACCGCACACCAGGGCCCCACAGCGCATGTCTGACTCCCATGTGACATTGGGGTCCCTCGGCAGCTTCCCTGCCAAGCAGCCCCGGGGTGGGGGGCCTGCCATGGGGGGACAGGGGCACATGTTGGCAGTAAGGCAGGAGAGACTTTGGCTTTATCTTGTTTTAATCAGGGGGGCTTCCAGGTAAATATCATTTAAAGAAAGAGTTCTTCTCTAAAAAGAATTTGAAAACTCCTAATCTTTCAGGCCAGCCCCTTGCAGATTTGAGTAACTCTTCCAGTTAGAAAGTTCTTTGTTATACTGAGCTGGAAGTTGTGCCACCTTGTTCCCATCCCGTGGACACATTTCATTCCCACAATGCCCTTCAGACCTCCAGGGGCAGCTGTTAGGCCTTTCCCAAGGCCTCGCCTCACTGAATGCCCCATTTCATAGGTACAGGTATCTCAGGAGACAGAAGGTTGTTTTGGGATCTTTGTTGCACCCGACTTGAAATATTAAGTTGTTTTTGCTCAACAGATCCCATCGCGTTCCTGCTTCAGGGGACCTTAGGGATTGTCATCAACCAGGGACATCGGGGGAAATCTGGAGCATTTTTTATAAGCCCTCTACTTCAATTTCCATCTTTAAGAAGAAGCTCAAGGGTCAAAGTCAACCAGATGACCGTAATCCTCTTGTGAGTGACTAAAAGCTGCCCCCTCCGAGCCCAGGACATGAGGTCCCTCCGAGCTTGAGGCCACTGGGGACCCGTGGTTTCCTCTGACTGACTCTCCCTGCCTCTCCCTCGGCCTCTCTGGCAGCCTCTGCAGGAGTGCTGTCCTACGGGCTGGAAAGGGACATCCTGCTGCGGGGGCAGGCCTAGCCTGGACTCCCCCTGCTTCATCACTGCACTTAGGAGAGAGACCCAAAGTCCCAGGGTCTGGGCCCTCCCTGTGCTTCTCTCTCTCTCTCTCATCTAGAATGGGGGTATCAGGACAGAGGGCCTGAGATGGCAGAGATGGTTGTGTCTGGCACGGGCTCAGGTACCTTCTAGATGACTGTAGGGTGGTGGGTAGGTATAGTATATGCTGAGTCTTCCTTGCTTATTTTCTGTTTTGTCCACACAGATCACTTTCTCCCATTCTTTATGGTTTTAAACAGGGATGCTTCTGAGGTTCTCTTGGGGGTTGGCCTCGTCCTATATTCCTGGACATTAGCACCCCAAAGCATAAAGAGGGCCCCTGCTCTGTGCTGACTCTGGGGCTTTGCTCTCTGGGTGCTAGATGAGGATGGGCCTCCTCCAACCCGGGAGAGCCTGGGAATTGACGCCCCCCCCCATCACATCAAGCCTGCCCCCTGCCACAACCGGGCTTCTTTCTATAGCTTCTTTCCATAGCTTGGTGATCGCAGAGCAAGCCTGCAGAGTGGTCGTATAAAACATGCATTCATTTATTCACACAACAGACTTTCCGGAAAGCTTTTATAGGTGCTCAGTGACTCCTCGTTATGTGGGATCGCCTGGCCTTGCCCCTGTGCAGCCCGTGGTCCTGTGGAACCTGAGCCGGGCCCCCGAGATTCTCTGACTCTCCGTTCAGAACAGGGAGTATAAATGTTGTGGCTTAGCCTTAGGCAGCTTTAGGTGAGACAGGCACCAGCAGTCCCTCCTGCAGGCAGAGCTCATTTTAAAAGATGAAAAATCACCCCACGGCCTGTGCACTCTGCGGCCCCCTCTGCCCCTTAGTTAAGGGGACAGAGTGCCGTCTGGAACGGCTCAGAGGGCCCTGGTCCCTAGCCCCACACTGCCCCGCGCTTCAGACAGGGAAGAGAGTCGCAGAGAGTGGCATGAGGACTGAGAGGTGGGCTTTGGGAACTGGAGACCCTCGATGACAGGCCTCCAAGATGGAGAGGTGCAGCTGCAGCGGTTGCTGGCCGGGAGGAAGAGCCGTCTCCAGCTTAGAAGTCCCTGCCATCCGAAAGTAGGCTTTGTCAACAGCAGCTGAGAAGAGCAGCCTGGGCCTCTGAAGGCCAGTCCTGGGCCTTTGTCAGAGCACGACTCTCCCAGAGGCAACCGGGCCTCGGGCCTTGGGCCTCTGGCCTCACAGGTTCCCTCTTTGGAGCACTTTGCCTACCTTCCCGAAATCCCTCAGCAACCGCCTGCTGTGGCCTTTCCTGGGGTCCTGCCATGCTGGCGACCTGTGTGCGCCTGGCTGCTCCCAGAAACGCAGAGGACCGTGTGGGGCCAGCGGGGAGGGGTCTGCAGGGAGAGGTGACACCCGGCATCCAGGGGAGATGCTGCGAGCTGGCCAGCAGAGGAGCACAGGGGCACAGGAGTGGGGAGATGGGGCAGTGTGTCCACGGGAGGGCAGGGCGCTGCCCCAGCTACCATGTGAGGCCTGCTGCGGGCACAGAGCTGTTCGGTGCTGCCTTCACGCTTTGATCTGGAAAGGCTGATTACCCCGGAGCAGCTGTCCACAGGCCCCTGGGTCTGGAGACACAGGCCTGTCCCACACGACTGGAAATACACTGACATGTGCTGTCTTCCCTCGAAGCTATTCCTGGCTGTTGTGGAATCTCCTCTGAACCAAGTGTCAGGTGTGTGCAGTCACAAAGGGCCCTGTGCCCTGAATAGATCCACTCACAGCACACAGGGAATGCGGAATATAGCCCCGGGAGGGCGTCGCCTGGTGGAGGGGCAGTTGTTCAATCACCTAGCGCTTCCTGTGGCCATTGGCCTTTGGGGCATCCCATGGGTCCACCTGCCCACCCTGCTCACCTCACACAGCCAGGGTGTTGTCTGAGTCTGCAGCTGGAGCAGCCCATTCTGAGACCCAGGAAGTGCTGGTGACGCCCCAGTGCCCTCCTTCCTGCTGGCCCTGGCACAGCCCACTGCCACCAGGATCAACTTACTGGCCAGGGAGCAGCCCCAGGAAACCCAAACCGGCCTTAGGACGGCGCTCAGGGAGAGGCCATAAATTGTCCCAGGCCCAACCTCCATAAACACCTGGGCTCTGGTCGGAACCTGTCAGCAGCACCCCACAGAGGGTCCCCTGTGGCTAAGTAAACACCTGAGGAATAAGTGTCCCAGAGGAGGCGAGGTGTGCTCCCAGGAGCACCGTAGGAGGCCCGCACTTGGTCTTTTAAGAAACCACTTTAGAGAGAAGTGAGGATTGGAGGGGCTGGAAAGCATGTCCCCGAGAAAGGACACCACGGATCACATAACAGATTAGGAAAGAAGAAGGGGAGGGACTTTGGGGGCCGCTGTGGCCTGCCACTTTGAAAGCATCCTGCCCAAAGCCTTGCCCTGAGGTGACAGAGGGAACCAAGGCTGTGAGTGGTGCCTCTGGGCCTGAGTGCCCTCCTCACCCCTTCTCTGCAGGATCCAGTCCCTGCCTTCTCAGCACTGGGCCGCCAGGGAAGGGAGGGCTGCGGGCAGCTGATCTTGTTGCCTCCATGGTAAATGCCTGCAGCCAGCTGGGAACGTGGTCTTAGCTGCGTTTCACAGTATGCTTGGCCCCTCTGGAAGCACATGGCGCCCCGTGTTCCTCCCCGAGTGCCCAATCACTTGCAGAACAGAGAAGGTGTAGGCATGAAGCCCGGGTGTCCTCCACATCCCCCTCCCTTGTCAGAACAGGGTTGAGGCCTCTCTCTGGCTGTGAGCGAGGTAACCAGGCTGCTATAACTTCTGAAGTGTGGGCTCTGGCTCAAGACTCCAATCAGCCAGAAACCCACAAAGATCAAAGCACTAGCAAGGACAGCTGTTCTGGCCCACCGGCCAAAGCCGTGCAGCCCCACCCACTCGCCCCGTTGTCAGCCCAGGAGCTGGCCTGACACCAGTGGGGCACATAGGCCATCACCAAGCCCCATGCGTCCTGGGCACTTAATCTTCACGAGCACTTAGCGGTGGATGGCCTCCGAGATCCTGTCTCCCTTGTCTGATGAGGCCATCCCGCATCTCCCACAGAGCCCGGCCCGCTCCCCACCCCATAGCCCAGTCAGCTGCCACCCTCTTGGGTTTTGGATCTCCGGTTTGATGTTTGAGGTCTGCTTTTGTTACTACCTTGGGAACTTTTAACCTTTTGATTGTTTCCTCTGGTGTCTTTGTTTACCTTCCTCACTGTTCTACCTCCTGGCCAGGTCTCTCAGCCTAGCTGCCCTGGCATGGGGTATTTCTCAAAACTTCCAGCTGCAGCTGCCTCCCCCCTCAGGTGGGACAGCTCAGGGGTGACGATGGGGCCTCAGCCCACTGCATGCAGACCCCAGGGGAGCCCATCACACAGGCTTCTGTGTTGCCACGTCAGACATACTCAACAAGGCAGAAGTGGGGTGTGGAGGAAAGTCTGAGGTAAATCTGCTTCAGAAAGGATGTGTCTTCAGGAGCACAGAGTGGGGGACCCTTCCCTTCCTGCACAGGGAGCTGCCGTCTTGGGGTGCACGCAGCATCAAGACCTGCCCACATCCAGACTCACCTTCCCGCAGGGATCTTGACTTTGGATGACAAGGCTTTATTTGTAAATATGCTCTTAATATGCAACTTTGAGAATAAAATAGAAACATCATGTATTTTAAAATATAAGATGAAGTGTGATGCACTGTATACAATTTAATATATATTTTTAGGATTTTGTTATTTAAGAAAATGGTTAATGTAATGGTACTTAACTTTTACAAAAGAGAGAAAAATGTTATTTTTACTGTCTGGAGAAAATAAATATTCTCACTGTTGTAGAAACAGCGACGGGCCCTAGCATGTCATTTTTATAGGGGCGCTCACAACGAGGGGGTGTCGCGTGCTGGCAGACTATGCACTCTTCTGAAGTCCATGCAAATGCCAGGCCTCACTGTTTGCTCAGTTTTTCCTGTTAGTGCCCCCAGCTTTCCTCAGGTCTCCTCACAGCTTTGACCCACAGTGGATCTTCAGCAGCAGGTCAGATCTGAGGCCTTGGAATTCCAAGTGAACATCTTGGAACCTGGGGCGGGTCATGGGAAGAGGAAAGGGCTCTGTGCTCAGAAAGACCTAGGTCTGAGTTGAGCTTCAGTGGGTCAGCCCACTTCTCAGCCGCAGCTTCCCCTCCTGTAAAATGGCATTGTGTCTATGCCTCAAAAGGTTATGAGGATTAGGTGAGAAACGTATCTAAAGTGCTTGCGTCATTATTATCCCATGTGGATTTTTTCTTGCCGTTCAGGGCAACCCGTTCTTCCCCACCCCCTCCTTGTTAACAGCACTGGTAGCAGCTCCACCTATGAGCTGCAGGCTCCTGCCAGGCGCCGCACACACCCTAACAACCATCTGGTGGGTACTGTCGCCCCTGTCTCGCCGATGAGGAGACAGGCTCAGAGGGGAGCTGGAAGTAGTAGTTGGGAGCACAGACCTGGAGCTGGCCTGCTGGGACTCAGCTCCCACTATTCATTCGCCGAGGCCAGGGAGTGTAAAACAGGCAGCCTTTGAAGGGTTTTGGGGGAGGAGTGACATCAGATTCCCAGTTTAGAACGATTTCCTACTTGAGTTAGGAAAAACAGTTGGAGTGGGGTAAGGCCGAGGGGGAGGAGGCGAATCAGGAGGCCGGGAGATGCACAGGTCCAGCGAGAGATGCAGAGGGCCTGGCTGTGGAGGGAGGGGAGGCCCCAAGTGAGAGCACACCACAGCCATTGGCCAGGGCCTTGGGCTCACACCCCAGCCCCACCACTTACCACATGACCTTGGGCAAGTGACCCAGCCCTGTGTGCCTACTTTCTCATCTGTCAGCCGGGGACAATTACTGTATGTACCTCATAGAATTGGGATGAGGTACCTGTAGTATGTTTTCAGAAAACGGCAGCTGTTCTTTGTTCTAGAATGAAGGGGCGGGGGGGTGGGGGGGCTGGTTAAGAACAAAGATGATGCCCAAGGATTCTGACT